CCGAGTCCCAACTCTTGTATCACTAGTACGCGCAATGCCCACAAGAAGGCACTGCCAATTGAAATCGGGATTGGCGTGCGTGTGTTTGTCACGGCTGCTGACGCACGATCGGCGTACACAACGCCGTCGTGACGCGACGTCGACGTATCGTAGTAATTGCGTGCAGTCATAGCAACGATCGTTTCAGTTTTCGCGACTGTTCCAACGGGGACGTGTTTCACATCTACCTCGAACCTCCGACGACTATCGGGACTTTTATCAATCACAAGTATCACAATTGCACGTGGATAACTGCGTGTCGCTGTTATCAGCTGTCTTGTACATCGATGGGTTTCAGTGACTTCAGTGGAATGCAATCGATCCGGTCGAGGCCCTCTTCGATCTGACAGGTACTGGCTCTCCTCGATAACACGTGATCTTGGTCGTTTCACTGGTTGCACGCGTATCTTTGTCTCGTAGTATGAATTTATCGCTAGGTTACACGATAGTTGGTGACATTTTGCGTGAAAAAGTTATCATGAAAAAAGTGCGTGCTTCTTCTCTTAATCGTTGTTTATCGTTTGTCGTATATGTATGTATAGATATATATATATTTATATACATATACGGTTTACTGCACCGCGAGAAAAACGTTCACAATTTAAATTGCTTTCTTTTTGAATGAATCGTTACAAACCAATTCAGAGCGGATGTTTTCGTTCAGTTCGTACGTTTATGAATGTTACGAAAAGAGGCGGTGCATCCGGTTTTTACTTCGATATCACGACGGTTATTACACTGTAAACTTTAATACAACGTGCACTGTTGTGTTCAAAGTACGAATTTACGTTTAAGTGTGCATTTATCGTGTCAGATATGAGCAATTATATTTGTACGATTATTGAATAGTGTATCGATAGTAATAAATCATTGCAAGAAGTAATAACTCATTCAATATTTCTGCAGATATTTTGGTCGAACGTGCGGATATATAAGAATCGGAGAGCTGCGTTCGGCAGTAAAAGTTTCGAAGTGTTTAATTCAGTAACCGTGCGAAGGAAAGAATTCAATCCGACTGAAATCTCTTAACGAACCCGTCTTCGAATATCTTCGCGCGTCCTTACATCAATGAAATTACCGGAAGTTCGTGCCAGCATTCTTCGTAAATCTCTTTTTCTCTCTCTGTTTCTCATTCTCTCTGTTTCTCTCTTTCTCCATCTCTTTTTCGCTCTTTCTCTCTCTTTCCCGGGCTCTTTCTTGGGCTCTTTTCCACTCTCTCTCGCGCTCTCTGACGCTCTCTCTCTCTCTCGCTCTCTGACGCTCTCTCTCTCTCTCGCTCTCTGACGCTCTCTCTCTCTCGTTCTCTCGCGCATTCTCTCGCTCTCTCGCGCACTCTCTCGCTCTCTCGCGCACTCTCTCTGGCGCTCTCGCGTTCTCTCTCTCTCTCGCGCGGTCTCTCTCGTTCTCTCTCTCATTCTCTTTTTCTCTTTCTCTCTGTCCCTCCCAAACGCTGGCTTTCTTGTTATTTCTCTCGTTGCGTCTATTTCTGTCTCCCTCTCTCTCTTTTTCTGTCATTAGATCGCCATGCTATCATGAATGCCACGGGCAGTAACAGCAGCGTGAACGGCTGCGACAGCAATAACACGGCCGCGGGCATCGCGGGCGCACACGGCAACAGTGCCCGTCTGCAGAGCGTGATCGGCAAGCAGAGCAGTTGCGTGCGCAAGATGAGCACGATGCCGGAGGAGGAAGATGCCCCGGATGACATGGATCCTGACGTGATAAGGATAGCGCATCAGCACTATCACCAGCATCATCATCACCACGACGCCGATTCGGATTCGCCGTCCGAGGAAAGGGGCCGTTTGTTGAACGTTACCGAGGGTACACCTCGTAAGATCACCGTAACCCCGACCAATTTAACCAACCTACACTGCAACGGCGTCAAGAAGAACATCCCTCGAAACGACAGCAGCAACAGTATCCACGAGAAAACTTACCCGCGACACCAGCAGCAATCGAAACCAGGTGACCAAGTTGGTCAACCGGAGAACCGTCTTCATCGCGACGTTCAGCAAGGTGTCTTCAGATCCGTACGTGGGATCGACACGCACGGGAATCGGTATCGTTACTCCAGCGTGAGATCGGTCAAGTCTAATCCGACGATGGACGACCATCAACATCAGTATTATCCACCAGCGGCCAGCTGGGCATCGATCGTGTTCTCCGAGGGAAACGGACAAACCCACGTACGACCGTTTCCCGATTCCGTCTCTATACGCTCTCTGGCATCGATCGGCATGGGTTCTTCCGACGGCCGGAAGCTCACGATACGTAGAGTTCCCACTTCGCCGTCAGAGCTGCTTAACCTGGTACATCCGCCGCCGTAAGTGAGCCACATTACCTAACGTGTGCATCTCGACGAGAGGCGTCGGAAGGAACGAGCCTATGAATCATGTTCCGTCGTGGTTCCTGCCTTGCTTCGAAATGCCTGCATGCGGTGTTTTCGTTCGATGCCTTCACGCTTGTTCCAGAGGCGCTTTACTCTTTAAGGCTTGTCTTGCTTCACAGATTACGCTCGCCTTTCAGGAAGTGGATTCGGCTTAGCCGAGACGATGGTTAAGCTGATGGGAATAGATAAGATATGTCGTTATCTTTTCACCGTGTCGGACGGTCTATGGTTGAGATGTTGTACGGTGATAATTGATAATGGGCAATGCTAGTTAGAGATAATTGTCGTTGCTTGTTTTCCTCTGTAACAAGGTAACGCGGGTGAAGTGGACCAATGAAAACGATTAGACGAACTTCTTTCAATTGAGACTCGTTTAGGATCTGTAACATTTTTTGTGAAGCGTTTGAATGCTAAACTATGGAGTATTGTAAGTTGTCAAGTTATTCTTGTGATAGAGTTTATCTTGCTGGAGTAACACTTTTTATGAATCATTTCAATACTGAATTATGGGGTATTGTAAATTGTAAAATTGTTCTTATAATAGAGTTTATCTTGCTGGAGAAACACTTTTTGTGAATTGTTTCAATACTGAATTATGGAGTATTGTAAATTGTCAAATTATTCTTATAATAGAGTTTATCTTGTTTGAGTAATACTTTTTGTGAATTGTTCCAATACTGAATTATGGGATATTGTAAATTGTCAAGTTATTCTTATAATAGAGTTTATCTTGCTGGAGTAACACTTTTTATGAATTCTTTCAATACTGAATTATGGAGTATTGTAAATTGTCAAACTATTCTGTTATGGTACAAAAATTTACTTATAATAGAGTTTGTAATTGAAAGAAAAGGTTAGAGATATTTGCAGGGTGGACTGTGTAAAACCTATATAATTATCTTTTCTGGCCACAGTGGTACAAGAAAATTAGTATATACAATTTAAATAATTCCAAAGACTGAATAAGATGGAACAAAAACTTTTTCATAAATGCCACCTTTTCTGTTTCTTCCAAGATCACCAATATTTTCTCACAGAAATGCATATATCTCTTTCTATTATATCTTATACCAGACATTGATGTGCATTTAATATGCACAACAATATAACCTCAAAATGACCTTAGACTCCAAAAATTCAAATCAAATATAAAACTTCCTTTCGTTCTTTACTATCAAAAAAAAAATTGTCCACAAGATAATTAGGTGGCCCGTTTCACAAAATCTTATAAATATTCCCAGAAGGCTTGATCGCCTTTTTCGCATTAATTAAAAATCCGACGAATACCTCGAGATCGGAGTTCAGATTTCGTGGAGTTTGCCGCGTGATTTGCATCTCCGGCTTAACGATAAAGACAAACAATGCAGGATGCTGGTGTTTTTGCCTGTGTGTTCGTTATCTGGTTCCATAAATGCGAAACTTGCGATGCATTTGATTCAGTCGGTTCTCAAGCCGCACCTCGGAATACACGTATAGTTCCTGATAACGAAATCAAGTTTCACTTATCGTCGCGTTTCGCAAATCGTGTCCTCTCCGTTTGAACAAATATCGACAAGTAGCAAATCTAATAAATGTCATTTCGCGTCGAAAGTGAAGAATGTTTCATCGGTCTGAAAAATCGAGGACTCTCTATCGTTGCGCGAATTTCGACGAACTTTTATCTAAACGAGCATTTTTACCTTGGTCGAAATTGTTGAAAATGTGACGAGCATATATATTGCAGCTGCGACGATCAGGCTGATTTTACCATCGATTGATAAGTGAGAATTTCGGTGGTAAGAAATGCCGCGTACGTCCGAACAGCTTGTAAAACGTGGTCTCGTTATCCACGGGCTACAATTGCAGCGTATTGTCCCAGAGACGTAAGTGGATAATAGGTGTACAATGTAAGACCATACTTTTGTTATAAGTAGGTGTTCATGCGACACATTGTTGTAGCTGCCCCGCTTCTTCCATTGAAATCGGAGTGGACCGTTTAAAGGGACGTAAATGGTTGTTCCACATTCAAAATTTCTATGCGACACACGTTAATGAAATATACAGAAAAGACCCGTTTAATTACCTGCTGTTGGTCTTACCGACGGTTCAAGAGGATCCTCTTTGGAATTATCGTTCTTCGTTATTTATCGCTGTTGAACGGTTGTTTCTCCGATTAGATTTGTTGACTTTCAGATATTTCGGTTAACTGAGATAGTTTTAATTGAAATCGAAATTAATTTCTCGATCAATTTTTCATTCTAATAAGGAGAAACGTTCGTAGAGTGAGATTCTTGATTTTTTAAATATTTTATCTAACTGAAAATTCTTGATTTTTGTATTTCTTTTTTAATATTAAAAAATGTTGGTTAACTAATGAATTGCAAGCTTTGATTCCGACT